TGAGAAGTAGAAAACATACCTACCTCGGACATTACTGGATCCATTTTACAAATGAGGACACTGAGGCCCAGAGAGATGATGTGACTTTGCCAAGATCTCAAAGCGAGGTAACAAGAGAACAGCTCTCCTGGTTTCAGACCAGCCATGCCTGCCGGATTCTGCTCTGTCTAAAGGTGCTGCTCCACAGTAGCAAATTGTCTTCTTGATCACTGGGATCTCTCGCCAGCGCCTCTTTCCCATCCTTGTTGCCTTGAGCTGAATCCCCCTGGGTCTGTTTCCTCCCTTCCTTCCTCCCTCCCTCCCTCCTTGACTCTATTTACTTTTTTCTTATTAGTGTCACATTGCAATTCTGGGAGTTCGCCTTTGCTTATAAATGTTACCGACTGGACAACTCTGGTGAGTTTCTCGACCAACTTTCTCCCCCCGGCCTCCTCTTCGGGTTCCCCAGACAGTAGCAGCCCCCAGAGTTGTCCCTGCGCTAAGTCTCGTTCAGTCACTCACGCCTTCGATCAATACTCACTGAGCTGCTGCCCTGTACAGGGTGTTGGGAACACAGCCCTGAACGAGGCATTCCAGCTCGGCCTGGAGCTCATCCTGCTGGGTCAGTATACATAACAAATAGTTTCGGTTCAGGCAGGGAAAGGGCTACAGAGAAAATCAAGCAGGGGGTGGGTCCCAGTAACAGTGAGGGGGAAGCCTGTCTGAGGAAGCCAAGGCCCAGCTGAGGAAGGAGGTGAGTGGGATGGTCATGGAAGGATCTGGGGAGGGAGAGTCCCAGCAGAGAAAACAGGGTGCAAACGCGCCCAGGCGGGGAAGAGAAAATGCCTTTCGATAGCAAGGAGAGGGCATCTCCTGGGCGCTGCCTTGAGGGTGCCAACCTCGCTTCCGTGAAGAGCTCACTGGTTCTCTCTGCCTATACCGAGAGGGTGGAACACGGGAAATTCAGTGCTTTAGGGGGCCAGGGTTATACAGGCTCCCAGGGAAGGCTGTTATGATCCTAAAGCCGGTCACGCATGCCAGTTATTTTTTTATTTCATTTCACGTGTCTTTGGTAAAACGAAAACGCTTTCTGATTTTTGCCATTTCTATTATTTATAGTGCATATATATATGTGTGTATATTTAGAGTCGTTTATTGAGTTTTAGAGAGAGAGGAAGGGAGAAGAGAGAAGCATCAATGTGAGAAGGAAACGTCGATCAGCTGCCTCTTGCACGCCCCCTACCTGGGAAAAAGCCCACAACCCAGGTACGTGCCCGGACCCGGAATCGAACCAGCAACGTTTCGGTGCCCAACCAACTGAGCCACACCGGCCAGGGCTAGAGTTCATACTTTTACTACTTGTTCCATCCTTCGTGGCTCCCAGAGAATAAGTGACTGCCTGGCGGGCACATACATGTCCCACAGAGCCACATGTGTACCCGTGTCTGTGAGGCTCCACAAGGCCCCTGCTCTGACTGGCTAATTTATAAATCAATCGCGGGGATAGAAGAATGCCACGGAACACTGAGGCAAATGACAATGTTGTTGGTATTTCTTTAAAAATGGAGCAGGATGGGGCAAAAACTGAGGGTCCATGACCTCTGCCTTGGGTTTCCTTACTAGAACAGAATGGGCGCTGCAACAGTGATGTCATCAAACACCCCCCCTCCCGGCCTCACTCAGGCTGAGTGTAACCGAGGAGAACGTTGGCCCTGGCTTTCAGTAACCAAAGGGCATAAAAGCAATGAGATCTACCAGTCGTGCCATTGAGCAATCAGCTGCTAATAGGGTCTGGCATTAATAGGTCCCCGGGAAGTGAAGCCTTGTTGGTAAAGCTGAAGTGTTATTTTTCCTTTGAAAGGAGTTGGGCAGAGGCCTAAAATAGGCAAGAGGAGTCCAGCGAGTGGCCTGTCCAGGGTGGGATCCAAGGTTCCCCTAGGGCACTCTGGGCCTCTGTAGTCACTTGAACATCCTGTACTGATGTTTGCTGTTCAGGGAGCCAAGTGGGCATCACACCAAGGAAACATCCAGGGAGGAAGGACCCTGAGGTGCAGAGGAGGAGCAGTGAGCGGGAAAGCCCAACAGGCAGAAATGCTGTTCTCACAAGTTCCTTCAGGGCCTCGTTCAAACTAGGTGCCGCTGGCCGGGCTGGGGTCTAACCAACCAGAAGGGCTGCTGGCTGCAAACTCCCAGGGCTGTACCAACGCATACTGGGTGAATCTCAGGCCTGCACGAATGTACAGCACACCTCACAAGTTTTAAGTGAAAAAGAAATCTGCCCTGGCCAGTGTGGCCAAGTTGGTTGAGCGTTGTCCCGTGCACCGAGAGGCCACTGGTTCAATTCCTGGTCAGGGCACACGTGCAGACTGTGGGCTCGATCCCCAATAGGGGGCCTGCAGGAGGCGGCCCATCGATGCTTCTCTCTCATCGATGTTTCTATCTCTCTCCCTTCCTCTCTCTCTAAAAATCAATAAAAACATAGTCTTAAAAAATCTTATATGCTTGTCCCGTGGTGTCAGGACCTCTGCAGTCCATTTATTTAATCGCCGACCTTACCATTCTGGTGCTGCTCTGCATTAATGAGAACCTCCTTTAATTTGAATCTCTCTCGGGGAAGTGGCTTTGCCGTCAGCCAAACCCGAGTTCAGATCCTACCTTTATAACTTTTATTCTTGGCAAAATACATAACCTTTCAAAAACTCAATTTTTAAAAACCTATGAAAAGGGACATCCTCCGGCATGGGGTTGTTTGTGAGGATTAATATGAGATTTGCCAGGTAATGTGCTTGGTGTGGTGCCTGGCTCACAGGAGGTTTTCACAGCGGTAGCTCTCATATCTAGAACCTATTTTAATCCAAATAAGTGCTGCTTAGTAATTAGGTAATTTCATATATTGGAAAATGGGTTTTGGGAACAAAATAATAGTTTAAACTAAAAGCAAATAAGAAGTGTGAATGTGCTGGAATACAGGGGTCTCCAAAACATTAGAAATCTTAAAAAAAAATTAAAACCACACAACTGAAATACCAATTACAGCAATAGAATTTGCACAGGCCATCCAGCAAATTCCATTTCTGCTATCCTGATTTGAGTAACCATGTATATGTAAAAGCAGTTACAGTGTATTTATTTAAGAATAGCTCATAATTGAGAGTTTTCACCGAGTCAGCCACCTCCCTTGCACACAATTACTCTGAAATGATAAAACTTTACTTCTCATAGGAGGCCAATTGTAATGAAATGTTACGTATCTGTTGGGGTGGTGAATACACAATACAATATACAGGTGATGTACTATAGAATTGTATACCTGAAACCTATACACTTCTATTAACCAATATCACCCCAATAAATTCAATAAAAAAACATTATGTATCTGTAAAGCACTTTCGCATAGCTTATCCTACTTAATCCACAAAACTGGGACCCACCAGTGGCCAATGATTACCAGAAACTCCAAAACCGTGCTTCAGTTTAAAAAGAGCAAGAGCAAGGGATGCCTCAGCCCACGCCCCCTCCCCGACTCACGTCCACACCCACGTCCAGGGCCAGAGCTGTTCCATCTCCCCCTTCTCCTGTCCTGTCTCTGCGGAGAAGGGGACACTAGGGGCTGGAAGGAAGGAGGTGAGCATGGGTCAGCTCACAGCAGCGGCGCAGACTGGGGTGGGCATAGCGAGTGCCGCTCAGATTGTGATAAGGGCAAACTACACGTTCAAAATACAGTCAGACCCGAGGCTTGCCCCGGCTCCGGTTACCCCAATTTTTGCCCACGCATCACAAAATTTAACCAAAGATTATATCAAAGACCTCAGCCAGCAAGAGTGGAAGGAGGCCCTCCTTCGATCTGAAATAGAATCATTAACATTTCTTCTAGAAAGAAGGAGTTTCATTCCTTGTCATATGCCTGGGGAGTTTTAGCTCCTAAATTCTGAAGGAGTGTAACAATTGTTGGATGATCATAGTGGGTGTGAGTGTGTGTGTGGCCTCATCATAGCTCCACATCCCCCAACAATTCAGTCTCTGAAGAGTGAAAATTCCTAGGACTTGGGGGACTTGGCGAACCTCCACCCCCGATAAGAGCAGTGACCTTGGAAGTCAGCTGTGTGGATGTTTTGTGAGAGGGGAGGGGTTTATTCAGAACCACTAACCAAGAGAAATAGGGCTCTGCACTGGCCAAATGACAGTGTCAGGCAAAGTTCCTTCCTGGGGAAAGGGGAGCCAGGGGGACAGCAGGGCTCTTCAGACAGAAACTTGGAGGAATTTATTGGCAAAACTGAAAAGATGACAGTATTCCCAAAAAAAGTGCCAATGTTCCAGTTCTGAGATCTCCCCACTACACAGGGCCCCAGCTTTGTGTAAATGTGCCCCCCCACTTTTAAAAGACAAAGATTTCTAAGAGGGGTTGGCAGGGAGGTCTAAGTAATTGAAGTGTGGTTCCTGAATCAATCATGTGGGAGCTGCTTAAACCCTGGACTATGATAAGAATCTGACATTTAAAAAAATGCCCAGGAGATCAGCTAGACACCCAGCTTCCCCACCCCCTAGAGCGGCACTGTGGCAGCAGGAACTTCTGCCATCAGCTGGAACCCCCAATAACACATCAGCATACCAATGACTCCTTTGGTTCTCCCTGACCATAGTCCGGAGGGACTGACCTACCTGAGTGTCCTTGATTTGCAAGGGAACACTAGCCCTGAAGAGTCTGGGAGCACTGATTCTAAAATGGTTTCAAAATGAACCCATTTTCTCAAAAAATAAAAAGTGTGGTATGTGCTCTGTTGTGGCGATCGTGAAAGAAAACTGACCTCATACTCCCTAAGGATGGTGCAGAAATAAATTTTCCGCTGACCTGTGTCCCTGGTGAAAGCCTGCAACTTGCAAAGGTCTGGGAAAACTGTCACAGGAAAGGCCGAGGGGAGCCCCGTTCCAGGCTGCCCTTGTGCAGGGCACTAAGTGGGCCCTCGTGAGGCGACCTCAGCCATGTGGCTGCATCTGTCCCTCTGAAGGGCCCTGGTACTCACTGGAGGTCTGGACGATGTCGCTGGGCTGGCTGCGGGGGCTGGGGCCGTGGGCATTCATCGCCCTCACTGCAAATTGGTAGTTGGTGTCCGGATCGAGGCCCTTGATAACCATGGAGTCCATCTGGATTCGCTCTTGGATTGAGATCCAACTCTTGTCGAAATCTGGTCTTTATCGATGAAGGAAGGAAACAAAACAAGAAGCAGTTAATTACGAACAGCAGGGGAAAGGGGCGCTTGCTCGCTGCGGAAACCACCAGGGCTTGAACTCGAAGCAATACTTATAAAAATGAGAGAACATGTCCTATCCAAAAGCCATCCTGATTTTAAATCATAGGTCATCATTTTTAAGTCCCTGCCAATAAAAGCAAGTAGATCAGTTTTAAGCAGCATTTAAAGACCAGCCGCTTTTCCTCGCAAGGCCTTGACTGCGGCGAAAGGTCCCCCGTAGGAGTTCATTTCCAGGACTGTCCTCCAGATGTTTCATAGACAAGCCTTCCCCTGCTGGTCCCCATTCCCAGAGGTCAGGGGAGAACACAGATTCCATCGGCTCACAGTCTGCTCGCAAAATAAACAAATACAAGTTTTATGGGGTGACTAATTTGTAGGAATCGCCATGGGAAAACCCAGGAAGATTCTGTTCGTGGCCTTTCTTCCTCCTCTGAACAAAACTGTGCAACTCTGCCAACTTGCCGGGTTTTCATGTGTCCTAAGAACCCTACAAAGAGTGCAGACCCTCGCTTAAAGCTGCCACCTGGAAGGCCACACACAGAGGGTAAGAGTACAACTCAGGCTGGACAGAGCCACTCAAATCCTGTCTCTGTGACTTAAGTCTCAATTTTCTCATCTGTAAAATGGGGGTAATAAAAGTACTTATCTAAGAGGGCTGTGGTAAAGACGAAATTAGATCTACATCCTTAGCATGGTGCCTGGCATCCCATCGTTAACTCTCGGCATGTGTCACCCATTGTCTAAGGGACTTACACACAGATTTCTCTAACAAGTTGAATGCCAGGTGGGGTCCGTAAGCCCAGGAGAAGATGCCTCCTTGGGCTCACGGAGCAGAGTAGTTTGTGGGGCCGGGATCATGTAGGAAATCCACATGTTGGGAGAAGCAGAGGTCACAGAGGGCGCCCACGGGAGGAAGCAGGGCTGGTTTCTCTCTCTTGACATCCTTTCCCTAAAGATGGGCTTCTCCTGTAAACTAACTTTGTCATCAAAGAGGAAACCTCAGTGAGTGGCTGGAAACACATTTACAAACTCAAATTAATAAAATCACTTCACAGAGGAAAGCCACAGGGAATGCCCTAAAAGCAAAGCCAGAAAAGATGCAATCTTGCTCTCCCATGAGTCTTTGCTAAGCTTCCCCGTGGCATTTCTAGAGGAAGTGACCTATAACTGTTCTTAAATGCCACTGTTTACCCAAATATCTGCAACAATCTTATGTAAAAATTGCAGCCCTCTCCCCACAAAGGGAGGTTATTTTGTATTTGTTCATTTAACGCAGGAAAGAAAGCTATCTTTTCAGCAAATAAGAGATTAACGTTATTAACCTTTCATTTCATTATACAGAGTGAGAGAGGAGAGCTCACGCAGGCTGAGTACCAGTTCAAAACCTTTAACATCTGGCCTCGGCTTTTCTCACGGGTTTTGCATTTAAATGTTTTTAGTGTCTCTCAAAGTACAAAAGTGCAAAGGGGATGTTGAGAAAGGGATAACTAGGCAAAAGTATTGTCTCAGATCACCCTCCAGCCAGAGCTTCTTTTTGCAACTAAAGAAAATTATTTTCTTCAACTACACAGTTGCCAGTCAAATCACCAGAGCGACACTCGCCCGCCAATTTCCCCAACAATGAAAAGGCTAGAGGGAGAGACGCTAAGAATGCGCTGCCACCCCAGGTAAAGATGGGCAGCCACCAGCGGATGGGCACTGGAAGCACCTTTCCAAATCATGGGCGAGGGTTGGGTCGGGCCCTGCGTCTCTGGAGGTCAGCGGAACGCTCTGGGAGGTGGCTGGGCAGGGAGTTCAGGGGCACAAGCAAGGTCTTGGCAGTGGCTGCTCACATCCCAATTAGCTGATCCAAGGAATCAAGACTCACTTATTGGTTCATTGGGGTGGGAAGAAGCCCGATTGCTGGCAATGTAGCATCCAACCTGGTTATTGGGCACCTTAGAGATCATTTCGTCCGAGTGCCTGAGGCTCTCAGAAATTACATGTGAGCTCTTATGTGTGAACAGCACCTTATCTTCCTAAGCAAAGGGTCCCTAGCACTCATCAGATTCTCAAAAGCTTTAAGAGTCACTTGTCTCGTCGAGGGGCTCTCATTGGACCCGCGGGGGCACTGAAGGAAATAACTGATCCGAAGTCACAGAATCACTCGACGGTATATTTTTCTGTTTCATTCCCTTTCTTTCTTTCGGCATTTTAAGCACCTCTGCCATTGCCAACCTCATCCTTAGTGGACAGCTGTTTTTCTTGGTACCATCAAGCCCAGCAGGCAGCTGCCTTGGGCGAGTCCCCTGGCAAGTGATTAATGAGGGTCGACTGGGCGTCCGTCACAGAAGCTGCATTCTGGAGGCTCCAGGAACTGTAAAGGTACTTCCATGCTTAGGGAGCTACAATCTAGTCGGGGGATGACACATCTAAGGACCAGTAGGAAGCCAATGCAAAACAGCACATTTCAAGAGCTCTATTTGAATGGGTCGATGTGAACAGAAATCCTGGGGAAAGTCTATGAGGGTGGGAAAGAACTTAAGTTAGGGTTGGGATGTGTCTGTGCATTTGAAGGAGTATCTTTAGGTGGAGGAAGACAGGGCAGCTTCAGCTCTGTGCACATAGAAGGTGCTCAACAGCACACGTTTGGATGGGTACAGACACGTAGCAAGTGTCCAATAAAGGGGGGTTGAGCTGAGCTGGGACATCTTTAGAGTTTGACCTTAGGAGTAACAAGATGCCCTAAACCAGGGAGCCGCAGATTTCAACTGGCTGCCAGCTTTTGTAAATAAAGTTTTACTGGAACACGGCCTCGCTTGTTTGTTTAGTTGTCCATCGCTGCTTTCCTGCCACAATGGCAGAGCTGAGTGGCGGAGACAGAGATCATATAACTGGCAAAGCATAACATATTTGCTGTCCAACCCGGTGAGAAAGAGTTGTACAACCCCTGGCCCAAAACAACAATCTTTAAAGTTGTTTGTGCCCCTTTGATAGTCTGAAGAAGCCTGTGAGCCCTCTCTGATAATATTTTTAAAGGAAAAAAAAAGAAATACATAGGATCACCAAGGAAACCAATTATACTGAAAATAATTATAAAAGCAAGAAATTATGATATACTGGTATCTGAACTTCTTTATTAATACATTAAATAACACTACCTAGCAATTGATTTAATAACTACAATAATTTTAAAGTAGTGCTAAGTATAATGAATATTTGGGGATATGTGCAACAACTGCAATGGGATAAGAAAACATCTAGGATTCTAACGGTGACAAAGTCTCAGGAGTTAATATCACTGTGGTTTGTTGCCTACATTCATAATTAAAAGCAACAACAAAAATGCAGGGTTCGGTAAAACTAAGGATGTAATTTTTCTCCAACTAAAGTCCAGGGACCCTTTGAATTCTGCCAATGGACCTCTTGAGGATCTACAGACTGCAGGCTAGCACCCTGTTCTAGAAGAGATATGATCCCCGAGATGACCCAGGGCGACCATGGTAGGAAAGAGAGAGAACCTCATGCTTAAAAAAATCCTTCAGTTCTCTGTCAGTTCCACAGGATTTGCTCTGCACTGAAATGAACTGCAGAGGAAAAGTCCAAAACCACTAAGTCCAAAACCACACAGTCTCAAAAAATGTATCAGCTGACCTTCAGCTTTCAGCCTTCTCTCTTTATTTACAAATTGTTTAAACCAAATGACAAGCAGAGGGACAGAATGGAGAAGGAAGCTCGGCTGGCATTCTGTCCCAGGCGGGGCAAGGGGAGCACACTGCCATTTACAGTTTACAATCGGCTCCACGGCCACTACACAAGAATTCAATGTATGTCGACTGCCCTGGGTCGGACCAGGGATGACATCAAGATGCTCATGGTGGGAGGGACTGAAGCTTTCAGGGATCAGTTTGTGGAGCAGTTGGTCTGACTTTCAGAACTGCCCTTCCATTCGAGCCTGAATGGATGAACTTGACAGCTACCAGAATTTCTGGGACCGGGCACCATTCTCACTTATTTCTAAGGCCATCCCTGGTGGTCGGAAAGGCTTTTACTTAAGCATAACTTCGTAAACACTTTCTTACAGAGACAGGGGGATTTTCCCCATTCTCCCCCAAATTAATTGATTGTGAAAAAACAATTATTTAAATCTTTTAAGTTCTGTACTGTTAGGGACAGGAAGGCTGACACTGGGCCACATCACTGTTATGTGTTGCAGCCATTTGCCCAATTATGATACACATTCCAGTAAAATGCTATGAAAAAACACTGACAATTCACTCACACGCTACAAAGAGCTCCAAAACGCAGGTCGGCATTCAATGTGAAATGGGCTCACAGTGGGAACTGCCACGTTAGTCTGATACATTTAGGCAGTCTTGGAGGCTTACTTACTTTTACCAAGACCGATATTCCTTTTGGGGTGAGAAAACAAAAGCCATAAATAACACTGTAGGGGGCAGAGAGGGGAGGGGCCGTGCAGACACGTGCTGGGGTTCTGTCTGGCTTTGATTCCTGCAGGCGGACAGGCAGGATGCTGGTGTCTGTCATGGTCTCTGAGAGCAGGGGCAAAGGGCTCACGGACCGCCCGTGTGGCCCGTGTGGCCCGAGTGGCCATACATTTCCATCTCCACGTGGCTCAGGGTGGGAAAAAGGGGCAACATACGCAAAACCGCCCACTACGTGCTGTACAGACACTTTCCTATCTTCACAACCCTGCTAACATCATCCCCGTTTCACAGCCGAGGGAAGGAGCTCGCACAGGTTCCAGCGAGCTGTTGGCATTCTCTAGACTCAGTCCCGTGACTGCCTGTGTCCAGCTGTTCGCCGGCACCTCCCTGACTCATGGTGTGTCTGCTCCATGCAGGGTGCTGTATCCACGCAAGGGAGGGAGTCAGTCACTGCTCGCACGCCATGGTGAGGAAGACAGACCTTGAACAAGTAACTAACTGCAAGTGCGATG